GATGATTTATTCTGCTCTTGGCTGCAGGTTATACTTCTGTGGCTGGAAGAAATGCTCCTCAATGGCACTGACTAGCTCATCTAGTTCCCCTTTCAGCTGTTCCAGATCACTGAAAAATAGAAGGTGGGGAGAATTCAGATTAGTGGATAATTCCAACGCGAAACAAGTGCACAGATTTGATATTTTTTGAGACAGTCTCACTAAGTAAACATGTATACCAGGCTGGCCTCACACTCACAGAGACCCATCTGCTTCTGCCTTCCAAAGGCTTCGAGGCCTGCATTAGCATCTTGGCCTTGATGCGGTTTTGAGATAGAATCCTGTTCCGTCTCCCAGGCTTTGTTTGAAATCCCAGCAATCCTCCTACCTCAGCCTCCCGAGTGCTGGGATTAAGGATTGCAAGTATGAGCCACAGCTCCAACGCAAAATTAGACATTTAAAACACATGTTAGTGTATTTTACAGGTTAATTTGAAATATGCACAAGTGTACATGTAAATGCAGTTGTCTGCCGAGCTGGAGTGACACGGAGTGTGGGTCGCCAAGGAAATAATTAGGGCTCACATATTAATCACGGAACCGTCTCTCTAGCCCCTGCAAACTGTATTTTAAAATGCTCCCTTCGTGGACCTAGGGAGACTGAAACTAAACTTCAAGAGGGTGGAATTCAGAAAAGAACAGAACTCCATGAACTTGTGTGTGGGAACACATTTGTTGACTTTGCGGGGGAAATCCCAGGAGGCAATATGATTATGTATTCTTTCCCTAAAGGTTTCTGAATCCAAGGTTTTCACAATAAATAAAATTACTCTTTGCTCTTCTTCTAAGAATTTTAAAGAACCACAATTTTAGTCCTAGCATCCCCAGGGATCTATACTGTCTGTATCTAACAACACAGAGGAACATTCCTGATTTTCCTCATGCTTCAGTCCTGGTCAACTTTGACCACATCTCTGTGAAGTCCTCAGTCTTCCTGGAAGACTGTTCCTGATACTGTTTTGTCCTCGGGTCACAGAAGTCAAGTTGCCTTCACAGAAAGGGCGTAGACAGAAGCCTCTTCACGGTGCGAGAAACATTAACTGCGCGTCTTTCTATCAAATACTATAAAACTTGTGTTTAACAAGGAATTCAAATCTGTTCACCCCCATCACCTTATAAAACCTTTCTGCAAATATTTTAATGCCCCACCTCACACAGTAAAACCCTTGCTTATACAAAGACCCACAGCATTTCCTGCTTAGTGAATTAAGCAGAGAGTCCTTTCTCTTCCCTTCATCTCCTTTGTGTCCATTCCTTTAAAACTAGCGGACTCCAGCCGAGGGGAAGAAGACAGTCACACTTCCGGGCTTGCTCTTCTGAATTCACCCTCATGGTCAGGGTCAAATTTCTCCTGGCAGTCTCTTTAGTTGGGGTGGTGATCTTTTTCTTTGTTCAAACTTATTTCTAACAGGTAGGGAATGGGAGTTGAATCTTTATTGCTCTATCACTACCACTACCAAAACAAAACAAAGTAACAAAAAAATGAGACAAAACAAAGTAACAAAAAATACTACAGCTGCAGGGGAAACAAAACTCTAGGGAAACGGATCCCTTTAAGAGAGCCAAGGTTTCAAGCCTGTAGGAAGCACTTATTTGTATAGACTAGGTCCATGGTCCATGGATGGAAACAACACAAAAGCCGAGCTCCCAGTGGAACGGATTTCCAGCGGCTTATAGAGTCCCGTGTGAGTTACCATACAGCTGACTGTGGAAATGAACCCTTCACACACTTTCTCTTGCTTCATTCTTGACCACCTGCGACACTTACATACGCAGGTCATCCAGAAGGAATGACAGTTACTGCAATCGGTTCAGATCATTTTGATGCTGCAACTGGCCATAGTATAATAAGGCAAACGATTTCATTGCAGACATTAATTCTGGCTCTATTAGTTATGTATCCTCAGGCAAGACCCACATTCTTCATCTGTAAAACTTTACCTTATTGTACATAGCGAGGTATACTGTATAAAGGACTTAGCCCGGAACCCAGCCCAAAGGCCTCGATAAAAGCTATCATTATAATTATTTATATTCCTATTACCAAAATATACAGTAATTATAACCAATACACTCGTGAGTTACACTGGTCTCTTTGTTCTCCACAAATGTGCTTTGAAGAAAATAACTCCCAGGAAGGCAAATATGGCCATAATTAGTTAAAAGCAAAGCCTAAAACTTAAACTCAGTGAACCTGCCAATTACTAACTTTCTTATCAATCTTTTAGTTCCCAAACATGACATATCTATATATTGATTCCTTTGTTCATCGAGTTAATGTTCCTGAAGAGTGTGCTTACTGGGGGCGGGGGGAGGGCTCCAACCACTCTATAGTGATGTAATAATTCCTAGTTCCCATCCTAATCCTAAATGACCCATTTGGACACTTAAAGTGTGACACTGAATAATATTTTAAAAACAAAACCATACCACCTGGCTGTGTAAACTTGGGCTAGGAACCCTGATTTCCTCCGCTTACATTCAGAGGGTCACTTTACGGAGATGGGTGTAGAAGTGTCTCTTCTCACCGGGCAGTTGTGTCTCTCTAACTAGGCCAAAAATCAATGTAGGATAAATGACAATGAAGTAATCTGATTTTTCAATGAAATTCTGAATTGGGAAAAAAAATGGCTTATTTTGAGGACTTCTGGGCAAGTCTGAATTCATGTTGACCAGGCTTGGCTTACAAACAATCCCTAGTTATTCAAATACTAATTTTGGCCTTACTGTAAAAGGTGATTGTCACATTTTGGAGATGTGACAGCCACTTACAAATAGTTTACTTTACACGAAGGCCATTATCCTTGGTGATCTGGATGGAAAAGATACAAGAGAGCATTTTTTCCTGAAGAATTTAATCCACATCTGCAACTTGACTCCATGCCCCTAAACTCCAGCCTGCCTACCCACCGTCATGCAAGCTCACCCCACCTCTGCTTCTCTGGTGTAACTGTTTGAAAACAACCAGGAACTAATAACACCGGGGTTCTCTTGTTCTTGGGTGGTACACAATTAAGTATTTAGTAGGCAAGTGTCAACAGGTCTATAATTTGTTTTAAAAGGATTGAGAAGAATAAAAAACACATTGAGATGAGACACTGCAAAACATCGGCAATGGTGGAGGATATGTCGGGATCTGTACTATGTGTTATGGTCTGTTTATGTGAATAAAGTTTTAATGGGGCAACATTCACTGATACATATTTGACTGTTTCTACATGTCAACAGGAGAGCTGAGTAGCTGCAGCAGAACCATAGGGCCTGCCAGCACTGGGACATTTGCTGCTTGTCCCATGTGTGCTTGCTTTCCAACTTCTGGCCTCGGTGAAGAACACGAGGGTTCAGTGAATTTCCATTTTAGTGTTTTTATGCCTGAAAGTTTTTAGAAATAAGAAGCTGGGAAGGACATCCTCTCCAACAAATCTCTCTCTCTTTTGATTTTTCGAGACACTGTTTCTCTTTGTAGCTTTGGAGCCTGTCCTAGAACTCGCTCTGAAGACCAGGCTGGCCTCAGACTCACAGAGATCCACCCGTCTCTGCCTCCCGAGAGCTGGGATTAAAGAGCAATACCACAGTCCTGCACAAAATGATCTCTTAAGTAGCAGGACCTAGACTTGAAAGTCCTTTTGATTCTAACCAAGTCATAGGTTAGATAATTCAATTAATAAATGAAATGCATGGCATGAAGTCTGTTAATATTTAAGCTTATCTTAGTCATGTTTTTCTTGCTGTTGCATGTTAGCAGGCTGGTGCTTCCTTAAGCTGTGATATTAGCCCAGCCTAGATCCCAATGTCCCTTTAATAACGAGGAGTCACCTTTCAATGACGGTAACACAAGGGCAGTTTATAAAAGCTCCCCCCTCCGCTCCCAGTTTATAAAGGTCTGAAATGAAGTCTACTCTGAAAAGCGACATGGAAGTGTAAGTAGCACAGCACTTTACATGTTAAACAGCATCACTACTATGGAGAAAACTACCCTGGAACTTTACATACATTTCCAGGCTATTAAAGAGAAAGGACTTTACATATTAAACAGCATTACTACTATGGAGAAAAATACCCTGGAACTTTACATACATTTCCAGGCTATTAAAGAGAAAGGACTTTACATGTTAAGCAGTATTATTACTATTGAGAAAACTATCCTGGAACTTTACATACATTTCCAGGCTATTAAAAAGAAAGGGCTTTTGGAAAAATGATGCAATAAAATATGAGAAATGGGGATGAAATCACAGAGGTGATCACAGAAAACCTGCCTCAATGTAGTGCAAATCACTTAGTACTTAGCTACACAGAAACACTGATACCTGAACACTAGTCACGGAATATTGGCAACTTAGAGAGAACAAGCACGATTTTTGATGTGGTTTCTTCTCTACCCAGGGACCCAGCTCAGATCCTCAGGTATTTACTGAGTGCACACAGAATAGATTCTAATTTATTTTATCCCAGGAGTAAACGAGGAAAATTCATTGGCATTAATGACCAATTAGGAGTCTGCTTAGCTGTAGAGACTCAGCTAGGTTTCTTTGTAAGATCTATTTACACATTTTTAATTTATGTGTATGTGTGTTTACTGTCACATGAATGTAGGTGCCCATGGAGGCCAGATGGGGACATCGGATTCTCTGGAGCCAGAGTTAAAAGCAGCTGGGAGCAGCTTGATGTGGACATGGGTGCTGGAATCCAAACTCAGATCTTCTGGAAGAACAGCAAGTGCTCTTGACCACTGAGCCAGCTCGCCAGCCCCTCAAGAGGTTTTTGGTTTGGTATGCGTGTTTTAATAAAAAACTTGTTTGAAGTGTGCATTGCTCTAGCATAGGATCAGAATTTAGTTTCCAGTACCCACAGGGCGGCTCATAACTGTCAGTACTGCCAGCTCCAGGGATTCAGTGTCTCTGGCCTCCAAGGGCACCTGCACTCAAGTGCACAGCCTACCCCTTCCACCATATACACAATTTAAAAAAGAAAAGAGAATCTTAAAACAAAATCAAAACAAAAAGAACTTGACTCCCAGGTCATACGCCACTATAATGAAAAGTCAGCACTTACTGGTGAGACCTGGGTATGAGGTTTGGAAGCTTCCCAAACAATGGGTAGCCACGTTGAAGAAAAATCACTGTGAAACCTCTCACCTCTTTCTAAAAATTTTTTAATTGATTTTATTTTTCAAGTTTTGATTTTTAAGACAGACTTTCTCTGTGTATCTCTGGCTGTCCTGGAACTTCCTCTGTAGATCAGGATAGCCTCAAACTCAATAGTCTACCACCTCTGCCTCCTGAGTGCTGGGATTGAGAGTGTGCGCCACCACGACAGCTATTTTTTTTTTTTAAGGTAGACTTTAGTAACATAGTATCGCTAGTTTCTGACTAAGCTGCACACTTGAACAGAACTAGGACATCTCAGGACTAAGAGGCACGGCACGGCCATCCATGTCATACCTGTTGCCAGGGGGAGCACACAGCTCTGCGTAGTATTTGATTTTGGGCTCTGTCCCGCTGGTCCGCATGGTCGCCACACCTCCATTGGCAAAGGTAAAGGTGATCATTTGGCTGCTCTTACTGGTCGGAAGAACCTAGAGATTAATTTGTACAGGTCACACAGTTAGACGGTAACCAGCTGCTCTGACCCGGTGAACCTGTCCCAAACAAGCGAGAAAACTAATACCAGACGAATACATTGGCTACAAGGACATTCCTTAGGAAGTCAGAGAATGCAATTCTAGTGCTATGTGAACGTTAAGTAACTTCACAGACTGGCTTTCTTCTTCCATAAATTTATTAGCAGTTATGAAGGTTTTGTTCAAATTGAAACACATTTTTTCAACTTAATAATGTACTATAGAAAATTAGATCATAACTCAATGCTGTAAATTGGAATTTTGTCAAAGATAAAAGATTCATAAGGAGGTTTTTTTTGCTTTGGTTTTGATTTTTTTTATACAAAACTCTGACAGATGTATTTACAGTTGTTAACGTCAGAACATCACTAAAGCTAACAGCTTTGTGTTTTCACAGGTATAAACACAAGGCAAAGGGGAACAAAGATGGCAACACTTGAGGCGGAGGTCACTCAACCATGGAAGACAGGAAGCAGACAATGACTTAGAAATGGTGTGATGAAACACGTGACTGTGGGGTCCCAGTACCTGAGGGTGGAGACAGAAACAGGAAACAGAGACTGTGCTCTGCAGAAGTCCAGCTGGGCTGAAGTATTAGAGGTACCACATATGCCAAGGGTTGGTGTGAGGCAGGAATGAAACATAGAAACAGGGTTGAAGAGAAGCTACCAGATGCTCAAAGATATTCCCTGCTAGCTCTTTTCTGCCTGCAAGGAATGAGTCTGCTGGCATTTGAATAAAAAAAGCTCAGAAACTAGGCCCACCAGGTACCATGGAGTGTACGGTCTGAAGGGAGACTGAGTGAGACATCCCAGACCCACCCCTAGCCACACCTCTAGGGCCTTGACAAGTCAATTTATATCCCTTCGAAAACCATAGGGTTAGGCTCTGGACCAGTCCAATAGCTCCAAAGTGAAGGTCAATCTTAGAATAGTTGCCTTGCTACTTAAGATCCCCAAAGCCCATTAGGTCATTTGTCATGCACACACAAAACTTACAACCAGTTAAGTATGTAAAGGATACTGAGAGACCCTTAGGGAAAGACAGTGGGTAAATAAGTCCAAAACTAAAAAGAAAAAAAAACTAAACAAAAGCCAGATTTTAAAAAAATGTTTTAAAAAACAAAAAATTGGAGGAAATAAAGGCTATATGGATGAAAAATACTTAATTTTTAAAAAGAATCTTTAGAAAGGTACAATAAACAAAAACAATAATAGGATGCCATTATGGAAAAAAACTTAGAATAAGAACTGAAAGTAACAGTTAACAGGAACACTAAAAGCTAAAAGCTGAGAAAATCCCTCAAAAAAGGAGTAGAGTGGGACAAGAAGAAACAAAGAAGGAAGGGTAGCAGTCCCAGCAAGCCAGCATCTACTTAGAAACTCTTTTAAGAAAACAGCCAACCACAGCCCTTCCTTGATATATCACCAAGAAAACTGAGACCTAAAAAAATGATGCCCACAGACTAAAGGACCCACTGTGATGGCGGGCTTGATTAGATTGAGACGAGGCTAGGGAAGCTGTAGAGCACACTCTGGGTGTGTCTGTCAGGACATTTCCAGATAAAGTTGGATTATAAGGACTCTGACCTAATCAATGGTTTAATGCATTGATAATGCAGCATTTTAGTAGTGTCCTGAGAAGGCCTGGAACTGCGGAAGGTGGGGACTGTAATGGTCTGTCCTGTCCTTTTAAGAGACAAGCCCCACCCACTCCCTCCAGGTCTGCCGAGGCAAGTGGATCTTCCTCCCTGAGAGCTCTCTCTTTTCTGCCTCTCTCCCAAGAGGTAGTTTTTCTTTTCCTCTCCTTACCCCTCTCTCTCTCTCTCTGTTTCTCTTTCACTCTCTTTCTCTGCCTCTCTCTCCTCATCCCCCTTCTCCCTCCTTCTTCCCTTTCCCCTTCACTTCCATAACCTACTAAATAAATATCCAGCCTCACTCTGCATGGCATGCCTATCTCTGTCTCTTACCTGCTGTAGCTCTGTGCAGCTCCCTGCCTGGGACCTGCTGCCCCTCGTGGCCCACAGGCCCCTTGGGGAATGGCACCAGTTTATTTTTATATTACAAGGACCACTTGGAGGACGAGGGTCTCTGGGAGCCCACTTTTGAAGGTTTAACTTGGCCCCGACTCCTTGCTGCACTCTTCCTGCTTCTTGTCTGTAACAAGCAAAGTGAACAGCTTCTTTCTACCGGGCCCCTCTCTGTCAGATTTCCACACTGCCATGGACCTAAGAACAGGGGAGCCACATGACCACTGATAGAAACAGTGAGTCCCCAAACCTTTCAGCATTGAAATTGCTTCTCCTGGGTATTTTGCTGCAGTACCAAAAAGTCTGACAGATCTAATAAGTGACCACCAACCTCAAATAGACAGAAATGCTAACTAACACGCAAAGTTTCCAACATGGAGTTCAAATGACATGTTCTCATTGAGGGAACGGAATCAGTTGTGAAGAAATGATGAATATGGTGTTAATGTCCTTTAAGGCATCACACATTGACTCCATTCTTCACTAAAGAGATGAGCAGATGCTGAAAGCAGTGCCTGGACCCTGAGCAATAACGGAGCAATGCTTTCAAACTCTGAGCCTGCAGAAGTCTGAGAGCAAAACGTCAAACATGTTCAGACCGAACAGCCTCCCTAAAATTACTACCACCACCCAAGGAAGCAATTGGATGTGGTCTAGGAAGATGTCAGAAGGTCAGGCGTGAGGGTCTCAGCCTTGGCAAACGGCACTCTGAGAATGACAGCTGTGTATACAATGAAGAGGACAGCGGGCGCGGGCGACACGGAAGGCTGGGGGGCACGGCCAATGGACTCAGACGGAAGCCCACACAGTAGCTGAGACTTGAGGGCCCTGGAAAATGGTATGGGGAGACTTTTGGGGGGACTAGAGACAGTGGCATAGGAATCTAGACAAAGAAAGCAATGGCCAGTTATAGGAAATGCAACTTCTTATGGGCCGTAGGAAGCCCCATGAAGAATATACCGAACAGGTCTTGGTAATGACTAGCCACTGTAGTCAAGGCTCGGATGTAGCTCATGAGGACAGGCAGGGGCTACCGAATGTCGGAAGTGTAGGCAAGGATTCTTTACCTCCATGAGAGAGACAAACGTTCTGTGGCAAACACCAGGAGAAACAATTGAGAGGGAGGATGGTTGGTTGTCTCAGTATGGCAATACACTATCCTACTTCACCATAATCCTTCTAACGTAATCTATCTCTTATAAATATACTGTGTTCCTAGGGAGATTTCAGAACAAAACAGAAAAAAGTGAACACCAGGGAAGACACCTGATAGCTCGCCAGGCTATCCCAGCTCTCCTCCTCATGCCACATGCAGTCAGAGAAGGCCAGATTCTCAGAAAACAAGTGGGTCTCCCAGAGTGGACCAGTATCTAGTCACCTTGAATCTTTTTTTTTTTTTTATTTTGGGTGGTCAGGTCTTTAATTTTTTTCTTTTTTCTTTTTATTGAGTTCTACATTTTTCTCTGCTCCCCTCCCTGCCTCTCCCTTTCCCTTCAACCCTCTCCCAAGGTCCCCATGCTCTCGATTTACTCAGGAGATCTTGTCTTTTAGACCTATGTAAGTCCCTCTTAGCATACTCATTGTTGTTTAAGTTCTCTGGGATTGTGGTTTGTAGGCTGGTTTTCTTTGTTTTATGTTTAAAAACCACCTATGAGTGAGTACACGTGATAACTGTCTTTCTGTATCTGGGTTACCTCACTCAACATAATGTTTTCTAGCATATCCATTTTCCTGCAAAATTCAAGCTGTTGTTATTTTTTTCTGCTGTGTAGTACTCCATTGTGTAAATGTACCACATTTTCCTTATCCATTCCTTGGTTGAAGGGCATTGAATCTCATTAGGTGTGCAAATTCTTTGTCCTTATCTGAGGCCTACTCAATGAAAAATTCCAGAGTGGCCTTCAGCATCCGTTCATGACCTAGCCCAGGCTGGCCTCAGACTCAGACCTCTGATGTTCCTGCCTTGACCCGCCACGTGTAGGGATTTAAAGATGTACTGGTATGTGCCATCATACCAGCTAGTAGTCACACGCCCTCCATGTGACTCAGACACTGTCTGGAGTGGCACGTGCTGAGTGAGTTAGAGGGAAAGCTGATCCAGAGTCCAAAGTCTCAAGTCACCTGGACCTTCCCCAGTTATCACTGCCCCTTTGGGTCACAATTTCCTTGAGTGTGAAAGAATGACTTTGAAAGCCATTTAGCACCAAATGACTTGTGAGGGTACTTGCAATTTTAGTCCATGCTTCCTAGTTTTCCCACATAGTTTATTTTATTTTATTTATTCTTTGTTCAAGGCTAGGGGTCTAACCTGGGCCTTGTGCATGCTAAGCGAGCAGTCTACCCTCGAGCTACCAGCACCAGCTCTAATTTCCCCAGATAGTTTATTACGACAACGCTTGAGTGCCCCAAGTCAGCTTCAGCCTGCCACATGAACAAATGAATCTGTTCAAACTGTAGAAATGGTAAACACAAAATAAATTAATTGATCAACGTAAACAACATGACTCACAGCTTTTTTGTCAGGCTGGCTGTCATCGTAGCCCGTTGTAAGGTCCCTGATAGCAGAGATTTCAAACCTGCCACATGTTCGGGGATAATTATTCTTCCCATCGTAGTTTCTCAGGTTTCCGAATAATTTTCGAATAGTGCCTTGATCGTGGCAAATAAAATATGAAGCTTTGGTAATGTGATAGCCATATCTGTAAGAGAAAAAAAAAAAACCCACAAACTTAAGCAAAACGAGCCACAAAAATTTCTGTAGACTGTTTGCAAGATATGTACCAGCTAGGACATTCTAAAATAAGTGAAACAGGTAGCCCTAGCCAAGTTCAAAAGAAAATCTAACATTTAAAAAAAGGTTCAAAAATGGCAAAATGGTTCAGTGGGTAAAGGCACTTGCGGCCTCAGACACCCGTGGTAGGAGAGAAACTGTTGCTCTCGGTTGTCCTCCGACCTCACGTGTGTTTGGTAGCATGTGTGCGCCCACCCACATACATATACACAAGAAATAACTGTTAAAAAAAAAAGTAAAAGAAAAGGGGCTGGAGAGAGTTCAGTGACGAAGAGCATCAGCTGCTCCCCCAGAGGACCCGGGTTCAGCTCTCAGCACCCTCACGGCAGTTCCTACCCATCCGCAGCACCAATCTCAGGGGACCCGGTGACCTTTTGCTGGCCTCTGTGGGCACCAGGCACATACATGGTACATAGACTCAGGCAGTCAAAACACCCACATACATAAAACCAAAGTGAATAAACTTAAAAGGAAAATGACAAAGAGGTCCAGGGTAGAAGAGATAGCTCAGTTCGTGGCGCTAACTCAGTCCCAAGCATGAGGACCTGAGTAATTCCCAGAATCCAAATAAAAAAAGATGGCCATGGAGGTGCGTGCTTGTAGTCCCGGCACTCGGGAGACAGAGACAGGCAGAGACAGATCCCTGGGACCTGAGGCCAGCCAGCCACGCCTGCTTGTCAAACTCTAGGCTAAGGCAGAACAGTATCAATCAGATGGTCATGGTCTGAGGAACGAAAGCTGAGATTGTTCCCTGAATGGCAGGCACACACAGTAAGACTGAATCAGTACTCTACTCTAGACCGGTCTGCTTAGGGAAGTTTCGACTTTATTATAGAACACAGGTGCGCTGCACGGGTTACTGTTTGTGCCGCCCGAGCAGCTTCTATGCCACACAGGCACACCCAGTACTGGCTACAATATCGATGCGTTTAATCTTTTTATGATGTTGACTACTTAAAGTCACACTCGTCAATCAAGCCATTCGTGCAACGGTCTCATGAGTTAGAACTCACGCAACTGCAAACGGCCATTACTAATTAGTGGTGACACATTAAGCGGAAAAGGTGATTTTGATTTTTATAAGAAACAGAACATGTCACTAACACTAGAGCACTTGAAATCCAACCATCATTCCTTCAACAGTCCTTAGACCAGTGGTTCTCACCTGTGGGTCATGACTCCTTTGGGAGCCTACGAGCTATCCTGCACGTCAGATATTTACATTATGATTCAAAACAGTAGCAAAGTTACAGTGATGAAGTAGCAATGAAATGATTTTACGATGGGGGTGACAGCGCTGGGAAGGTTTGGGAACCACCGCCGTAGACACTTACTCTACATAGATGGCCTTGAGCTGCTGAGACATAGACAAATTCTTGGTGGCTAGAAAGCTTGCCAGCTCTGCGCTTAGGACAGCTGCACTGACACCATCCTTGTCCAGAACAAAGGGACAGCACATGTATCCTGCGGACGAAGCGGTAGACACACAGCTCTGGAGTGGACTCTGACAGCACCGGAACGGGCCGCGCTGAGGGCAAGCCTGCTGGCTAGTCCATGTTAGGGTCTAGACTGGCACACACATGTTTTTCATTTAGGTATTGGAGAATTTAGATAGGAAGGCTATCGTGTCTGCTTTACACACAGAAGGTCCTGGGTTTGAGCCCCCAGCGGATCAGAGTGTGATCAGCTGACACTGGACTGAGAGCCGTGATGTACGGAGATGGAGGCAGGAGGTCAGGAGTTCAAGGTTATCCTCGGCTACAGAGTTTAAGGCCAGTCTGGGTTACATAAGCTCCTGTCTCAAAAACCAAACAAACAGAAGCAAAACAATTTAGCCCAGTGTCTTGATCTCAGTTGTCCTGAGCAATCTGTGTGAACCTCATTATTATTTCTTACCGATAGCTTCTTCAAATGCAAATAGGACCGTCTTCCCCTGGTCTATTAGCTGTTTGGCTCTGTTTCCCATCCACTTGAAGCCAGTTAGTGTTTCCTAAAGGGATAACCCAAAAGAAAAAAGAAACGTTTGGTGCTAGGGATGCAACTCAATTGGCAGAGTGCTTGCCCCAGTTCCACAGACACTGGGAGTCACAGTGCGTGCTATAATCCTAGCAATAGGCAGGTGAAGGCGGGGAGTGGGGGGGGTGGATCAGAGGTTCAAGGTCATCCTTGGTTATATATGAAGTTCAAGGCCAGCCTGTGCTATATGAAACCCTGTCTCAAAATATAAAAGAAAAAAATGAAAAGAAAGAAAAAACATTGTTTTAGGAAACATGAAAGTCAAAGTCACCTTACCTCGAAATGAAAGCCCTCCTTCAAGGCAATGGCCCGCAAGATCTTGGAAGAGACGGTGCTGGACAACATGTATGTGTCTTTGAGGGTGCTTCGATCTGGGTTCTTTTCTCTCCAAGACGTGAAGAGCCACCATCCCAGCAGGGCCCCCAGCTCATTGCCGGAGAACACTTTCCACTCACCACTGTGAGGAAACAGGGTCTTTGTCTTAGCAAGCCCCAGGGAGGCCCAGAAGTCCCTGGAGCTAGGCAAACAAAGCTCGGCATACTTTCTGTGCCCCTGTTCCGGTCTTTAAGTTGCTGGGCTGAAATGGACCTGCCACGTCACAAACATCTGAGTGGCTTCCATGGTATTAGCCAAGGATGGTTGGATTTCCATCTTTGACAAAGGCTGTAGTTTGAAAATGTACCAGACACTCTTATATTATCCTCTGCAGAAACCACATTGTTATACTGGTTTTAAACACTATGCCAACATCTGTTCCCCCTAAATTCAACACTGCCTTGAAGGTCCAGTGCCTTATCAGATTCACTGGCAGAAAATGAACTGCAAAAATTGCATCCTAAAAAGGACTTTTGCCTTATCAGGCATGGAGACTTTCACATACTAAATTCAACTCCAACACAAGGGGGCCACAAGAGTCATTTCACTTCCCAGTGTGCGCTGCTTTGCTCTATGTCATGATCTCTGCCCGTAGGCTCAGCAAACCGTCCTGCTAGAGGAATCCACCAGAGGTTTTGCGGTAGAAACAACTAAAATTACCTGGAAAACTCAGCCTTCCCAGAAACATATTACTATTGCTAACGATGGCTTTCAGTGTATTTTTCTGGTTTTGTTGTTGTTGTTGTTGTTTTGCTTTTTCGAGACAGGGTTTCTCTGTAGCTTTGGAGCCTGTCCTGGAACTAGCTCTTGCAGACCAGGCTGGCCTCAAACTTACAGAGATCCACCTGCCTCTGCCCCCCAAGTGCTGGGATTAAAGGCATGTGCCACCACTGCCCGGCCTCTGTGTATTTTTCATAACACATGTAAACAAAGGTAGTTTCACCTGTCTTGCTTTTCTGCCACAGCAAGTCTGTCGGCATCTGGGTCATTGGCTAAGATAATTTTGGCCTTGATTTTGTCAGCCAAGGCGAAAGATAAAGTCTGAAAATAAGTGCAGAAAATAAAAATTACTTAAGAAATACAGAACACACCTTAGTCTTTAGAATGGGCATGGTCTCATGAGCTAAAATGGGCTTGCCCCCAAATTAGGCCTGCAGGATTTTGTTGTTGCTATTTTTTTCCTCTTTTCTGCCTTTTTATTTTCTGCTTTTTTTTTTCTTTCCTGGAGCTGGTTTTGCTTAGTTAGATTTTATTTTATCTTCCTAAGTTGGAGATCAGATGATGAGAGTTCCAATGTACAGCCCATCCCTGCCTTGTGACAGCACAGAACTGTGCCAGCCTTGTGATTGGACTGGAATTTCTAGGCACTGTGTGTGTCTGGTCGCACAAAGCAGACCAAACCAACTCTCTCTATGTCATCTTATCTAACCTTTCAGAATGGGCTGCGAGCCATACTGCCAATAATGTTCTCTAACAATAAAGAGTAAAATTAAAACCCCATCTCTGTTCTATTATTATGAATTCTTGGCAATAAAGAAACTATCAATTAAAATTCAATTTAGTTTGAGCTGGAAAGATGGCTCTGCCATCAAGAGCACTGGCTGCTCTTCCAGAGGTCCCAGGATCAAATCTCAGCATCCACACGGCAGCTCACAACTGTCTGTAACTCCAGCTCCTCGGGGATCCAACACCCTCACATAGACATACAAGTAGAAAAACACCAATTTACACAAAACACAAATAAATATTTCTTTAAAATTTAAAGAATACTTTAGATTTTACATCTTACATCCTCTTGTAAGGTGTCAAGTTTGAAAGTTCCTTTAAGAAATTAATGTCCATCCGACATACATATTTCCAGAGATATAGCTCATTTTTCAGCACATCAAAAACTCACAAAATCATAATGGCTTTGATAATAATGTTTTAGAACAATGGTTCTCAATCTTCCTTACCTGTGGTAACCCTTGAATACAGTATCTCATGCTATCGAACCCCCAACTATAAAATTATTCTCATTGCTACTTCATAACTGTGATTTTGCTACTGATATGAATCATAATGCAAATATTTGTGTTCCTGATGTTCGTAGGAACTGTGAAAGGGTAGTTGGACCCCAAAGGGTACACAACCCACAGGTCGAGAACCACTGGCTTAGCATATAAAAGGTAGAGCCCATTATTTAATAAAAGTAGGTTACCAAGACACCTTTACCCTCCTCAGGATTCGGGTATTTGACAGTTGGAAACTCAGGATCCGGATCTTTCTGCTGGGGGACAGCTTCAGGAGGAGCAAGGTCAAAGGCCTTGAACGCCAGCTGCACAAACTCGTGACCCACACCATGGACAGAGGTGTGCACAAACTTCACTTTGCTCTCCTTGTTCACACTCCTGGAGTAGGACAAATTGGAAAACGACAAGGGATATAAGCAAGGCTCTCGAGGGGAGGGGCTGGGTGCCTCAGTAAGAAGGAATCTCTCACGTATGCTGATGGCACAGTTGTGACCTTTCAGAGTGGCCTAAGCTATGTCCTCTGTACAGAATCAAAAAGGACCAATGACTTGAAAGATTAAATATCACAAAATGCAAATGCAAAAGTTCAAATGGCAGAATTTTTCCCTTATAAAAACCTGGGTATAGAGTCTTTTAAAGCATTAATAAAACTCAGAAACCAAAATTAAAAGACAACCAAATATTAACAAGATTGTTAAGGTTTCAAAAAAAAACTTTCAAAAGTGACAAGAGAAAAGTAAATACTTGAATAAACAAGACCTTTTTTCTAAATAAATAAAGATGACAACAGACAAACAAATACTTAGAAAGGACAAACATCAAATAAACATGAAAAAGGTTTTCATAATAAAGGGATGTAAGGGAAAAGGAGCTATTACTCTCATCTAACAAATGGGGGGAAATGATAAATTGATAAGGCTGAGCGCTGGGTCAAACATGGGTCCTATGTTATTACCACGGGCTGCAGGTGTGGGTGTCAACTCCTCTACTGTTCTTAGAGGGCAGTTCGCTGATCACCTTCAACTTTGCAAATGCATATGCATTATCTATTGCACACACACACACACACACACACACACACACACAGAGTTGTATCCATACTAGCATATACAGACACAGGTACAAACATGTAAGGTTACAGCCCTTCAAACTGTAGCTCATGGGCTGCTCACCCTTTTGTAAATAAAGCCACCTCAGAGCCACTTCTTTGACTGGTCACCTAGGCCGTTTGCATACTAGAATTGCAATTCTGAGGGGTGAAGACAGGCTCCATGCAGCTGTCTTGAGGTCATGAGGATTGTTATCAGTTCCTTGAAGAAATAGGGACCCCCTACTGCTGGCCCTTGCATATGTAGCTATTGTGTATACAAGAAAGGGGGACAAAACCGAAAACCAAACATAGAATCTGGCTGGACCACATTAGCTCAAGTGAACTCGCGGTCTAGTTACCTGTGAAAACAGTATTTTTTAAGATCTTCAAAGTAGTCATCCCTGATGGAAGTGCTGGGGTTGTGAAGCAGGGGGCTGCTGTCAATCAAAGAGTCGTCCCAAGCCTGTGGCCAGGGCTCTAGATTTTCTTCAATAGCTTGAGAAATGCCTCGATCGTGTGGAGAGATGATCTGGGCTCCATTGTCCCAGTAGACCTAGAGGCCAGGAATGCATTTAGCAGGTTCAGGGTGCAGAGTACCCACTTCCAAACAGCAAAAGGGGCGGGGGTGCCTTGTAAGAGCACCGTGTGAAGGGAGAACGGAGGGTACCTTATAGCCGTTGTCCTGCTTCGGGTTGTGTGAGGCAGTGATCATGATCCCGGCACAGAGCTTCAGACGCGACACTGTATAGGGCTGGACAGGGCAGGAGACAGCAAAGATGAGAGAGAAGGGAAATGCCTAGTACACATGGTTTGGACCCACTCACCCCCCTTTATTACCCTGATATCATAACACAGCATTCAGCATCCTGTGTGCCATGAAGTAACATGCGGTACCCCCCCCCCCATCTGTGGCTTTGCTCTGTTCTATTTCAGTCACTCGTGGTCCAGGAAGAAGAGTATTTGCCTTAACTCTTTCAGCAGGGCCCACACCGACATAACCTCATGCCAGGATACTGCTACAACCGTTCTATTTTATTATTAGTTACTGCTGTTAGTCCCTTATACCCTTAATCCATAAATTAAGCATTCATTGGGACGAACTGTAGGCCTCAAGCTGCGTAAACTTTTATATTATCTGCGGCTTCCACTGCCATGAACTACTCTGCCTGTGGCTAAGAGGAGACTGCTAAAGTCTTATAACTATAACTGGCCCAAAGTTCCAGAATGTTCATAATGTTCATCTTCACAAAACAGGGGAATTATTTCCTAGGTCCCCTCCTTCTGTCTTCTCCTTCTGAGAGTTAGAAAATTCTTTGAAGACAAAGATGGGCCACGCCCCCACTCTGCATTCAGTCAAAGCTTTTGCTCAGGAAGGAAGCTGGGGCACAGTCTCTGCACCCACTCCCTTCCCCTCCTTTTTCTTACTCACTAAGGAAAAAGCTGAGACAATGGAGTGTGTCCTCAGATTCTTCATCTCTCACTCCAGGGTTGACACCTAGCCCTGACATTTCAACTCAGTTCCCACCCTGACAAGACAACGTGCCAAAATGGCAGAAGGCTCTTGGCTCATTCTATGCTTGGCTACCACCAACGAGATTTCTACATAGGAAACCTGAAATATGAACCATTCGATCCTCTCTATCTTCTACCATTTTCTCCATGAGGTGAGTTATACTCCTTGGGGGTGTGTCCTGCTACAGAGAAATGGGCAGAACTAGCCAGGTGTGGTAACTTATGTGTGAAATTCCAGCACCTGGAAGGCAGAGGCAGAAGAATCACTACATTCAAGGTCAACATATCCTACATTCAGGGTTAACCAGAGCTACATAGCATGACCCTGTTTCAAAGAAAGCGCTAGAATCACTCTAGGATTCGTGAGACAGTCATTCAGTTCTCCTACAGTATGCTAGTTACCGACACTTAGATCATAAAGAATACAAGTAGGATTCTGGAACGTGCTGCAATATTTCCATCAAATGATGAAACCTGAGCTACACAGAGCTGGGATACTATGGGCCTACTGGGTTGTAGACACCCATGGAGGTGCTGTGTTCTCAGTTCACTGGGCCAGCGGACCTGCCTGCTCATCAACACACTCTCATTCCTACCCGATGGAAGGAGCCACACTAAGTCAGTTGTTAGAAAAACACACTCTCAGCATGAGGTCCAGCTCTTCACAGTTGGGTCTGCTGAAAAGCAATGGCTGTCACAGTCCCTAATGGCCTTTGCTTCACTTCTGCTCATGAAGGACTTAGTACCAGTCTAGCCAGGAATAACATTTGGAATGGACCATTCATATCTAAAGCTGGTAAATCAATGTAGCACAAATAATAAAAACCCAGAGACAGATATTGGGGTTCAACCTGAAGATCAGAAAAGCAAAGCAGTCAGTTAATGGCTCTTACCTCTACCTCAGACCAAAAATAGAGTCCTGTCTCCATGACTCCTGAAGACTCCACACCCCATTTACCATACTTTCTGAATTCCTGTCTCTTCCCTCTTATATGCCTCTCTCCGTCCAGCCATATTGCCCCTGTTTCCACCTCCATGGTGCTGGAATTAAAGGCATGTGATCCCAAGTGCTGGGATCACCTCTGTGTGAGCTCTGTTCCTCTTTTAGACAGATTAGTTTTGTGTGTCCCAGGGTTGCCTTGAACTAACAGAGATCTGTCTACCTCTGCCTCCTGAGTCCTACTTAAAGATGTGTGCCATCACTGCCTGGCCTGTATGGCTAACTAGTATCTTCTGATCTTCAGATAAGTTTTATTTATTAAAACACAAATAATATACCACTGTACATCAACTTGTTCAAAGATATAGTAATACAATGTTTGAGGAATTTAGACTCAGATTTAGACTCAAGAGATTCCCTAATTGTGGTAATTGCAGTGAAAAACTACCTATCAGTTAAAAAAAATATATAAGCATTTTGCAAACTTGCCAAAAGATACATAGAATCTGTGGTGGTTTGAAAGAAAATGTCCCTTGAAGGGAGTGGCACTATTAGGAGGTGTGGCCTTGTTGGAGTAGGTATGATCTTGTTGGAGGAAGTGTGGAGGCGGGTTTTGAGGTCTCATATATGCTCAAGAGACACCCAGTGTCTCAGTTCACTTCCTGTCGCTCATCAGTCAAGATGCAAGAACTTTCAGCTCTTCCTCCAGCACCATGTCTGCCTGAACGCTGCCTTGCTTTGTGCCATGACAATAAACTAAACCTCTGAACTGTAAGCAAGCCACCACAGTTAACTGTTTCCCTAACCCTAACCGCTAACTAACCCTGAGTTGCCGTGGTCATAGTGTCTCTTCACAGCAGTAGAAATCAGAACTAAGATAGAAGTTTAACAAAATAAAATGGTATCTTATCTTTCCTTTGGTGCTGGAGCTCGAACCCAGGCCCCTGCCTGTGCTACCACTGAGCTTCAGCCGCAACCCTTATTAGACTTTGAGAAAACCAATTCAGAACGAAAAGCTGCACACCAGACACACATTACAAGGATGTGGGTAAAACTGCCCTAGAGAGAGAGAGGAGTTGGCCCAACACGCACCAGGGAATGGTCTGTCACCAAAACAGCCGAAGACCAGCAGCACCAAGGCCCACCCTGGGTCCTGTGACAAGAAGCTGAAAGGGTTACTTACCACAAATGGGGTGGGGGTTATATCAGAGAAGAGATGCACAGGGACCCCCTGGCTGATAAATGCAGTCGCAGCCAGTCGGGCAAACCTAGAAATGCAGAAACAGGAGAGTCGGGGTCAGGACTGCGAAACAAGCATGCTGGGCTGGAAGCCAGGGCTTCATGTGCGCATGCGTGCTAGGCAAGCACCCTACTAACACAGCTGCAGCCTTGGCCCCTGCCACCACACCTTAAGATTGCACACGGTAGGGAGAGAAGGAAGATGCTTTTTTCTAATGTATACACTGGTACAGAACCCCAAAGCTGAGGACCGCTGGGGTCTTCTCATGCCACCTACTGTTTAGGATGAAGGCCTCACAGGTCACCTTGTCACATGTCCAAGGCCACTGAGCACGTACGCAGGCCTGCATTAAAGTCTGCCAACACTGGCTGTCTCAGCCTAGCTCAGTGGTTCTCACTCGGGCTCATCCGTTCCTCACAAGGTTTCTGATGTAGAGGCATGGCCAGTTGTTATGCTTGGGAGAGGGCCTGTGCTATCGACAGTTAATAGAAATTAATGGGTAGAGGCCAGAGGTGCCACTAAACACCTTACAATGCATGGGACAGGCCCCACAACAAAGAATGGTCCAGGTGCTGTGACACCAAGCCTGGGGGTGGGAAATGGTATGTGACTGTAATCCTGCAGTTCTAGGAGAAGGAGACAAGGGAATCACAAATTCAGTACCAGTAAGAGCTATATAGTGAGATCTAGTCTCCCAATTGAAAAGATAAAAAAAAAAAAAAGTGCATGAGAAATTGTACACAGGTTTTCCCAAACCATGTGTCGTGTTGTGTAGGTGATTTGTGCACCTTTGGGTTTTGGAATTGAGCTTGTCTTAGAACCAGCCTTAGTGAATATTGAGGGCCAACTTTAAATGCTTTCTATGGTATTTGGGGGATCCGAATCCTAAATACCTAATCAACACTGAAAAGCCTGCAGCCATTACTGTCCCACTACCTTCGCCATCATCTGCCCACAGCTGAACAGGAGTCCCTTTGGGCTGGGACCACCACAAAGCTTCAGCCCGGAAGGGTGTCCGTTCAAGAAAGGAAGAGGCCTTGAAGCTTATCAACAGCAGGGAAGAATTACATGCGAGCAAGTTAGAGACAATTTAGACAGGTTCTTTCCTTTGGGTAAATATTCCCCTTTAAGCACCTAAATAACTTCATTTATAGAAAAGCAAAATTTTTAAAGCTACTAGCAGATCTGACCCCATCATTTTTGATTTTTGAGACAAGGTTCTCTCTCTATGTAGCCCTGGCTGTCTTAAAACTTGCTATGCAGACCAAGCTGTCCTTAAACTCACAGAAATCCTCCTGCCTCTGCCTCCTGAATGCTGGGGTTAAAGGCCCAGCCTAAACCATCATTTTTAATAGTTAAGCAATTATTATGGGATTAATGTCAAGTTATTTAAAAAGAAAAATCAAAGGATTGGAGAGAGGGTTCAGTGGTTAAGAATTATACTGGGTTTTTGTGTGTGTTGTTGTTGTTTTGGTTTTGTTTTTTTTTTTGAGACAGGGTTTCTCTGTGTAACAGTCCTAGCTAGCCTTGAACTAGCTCTGTAGACCAGGTTAGCCTTAAACTCAGAGATCCATCTGCCTTTGCCTCCGAGTGCTGGGATTAAAGGCGTGGACCACCGTGTCCAGTGATCCCTACTGTCTTACAGAGGCTTGTGGCTGCCTGTAACTCCAGCTCCAGGGGTCTAATGTCCCTGGGCTCTGTGAGCACCTGCACCAATATGCACACACATATCCATTTAATCAAAACGTTTTTTAAAAAGTCAAATTATTAAAATGGTGATTAAAAATAAAAATATAAAAGAAACTAAGAAAAAAAATCCTTTTCTGAAAAATGTCTCTGACTCCATCCCCAAAGCGCTGCAAAAACCTAAATACCTTTTGCTGCTGCCTCCACTGGCTGGGTGAGCTCTGGCATCGAAGCTGATCACCACGCCCCTCTGCTTCAGGTCACCGAACTGCTTTTCCAGGTACCTGCAAAACCCCTGAAAATAGCCCAGGGGTTAAAAGCACATATTTCATACATATGATAAAAAATTATTCCAAAATTATATTTTTACCACTTTCACAGGGACCACATCATTCATATGTGGGGCAAAGCAGTGATTATGCAGACTGAACAGTAAGATGAAAAGCTGTTTGTTTGTTTTACTGTCTGAGTCAGATCCTGTGCTGAGCAGTTAGAATCAACTACCTCCAGGTTCAGACCAGCTTACTCGGAATCTCCATTGTCTAGATGGAGACACAGAGGTGAGCAGGAGTAAGGCTAGAGTCAGACTTAAAGAGCAGCAGAAATAGCCTTGTAAACCTGAGGATCTGAGTCCAATCCCCTGAGGCCAAGTTTAACAAAGGAAGACGTTCGGCATGGTGGGACATGCCTGCAAATCCAGTACTGACTGGGAAGGCAGAGGTAGCTCCTAGATCCCGGGGCTCCCTGGCCAGTCAGCCTAGCCTCCTTGGAGAGCTCTAGGCCAGGTAGAAATTATCTCAAAAGAAAAGGTGGATATTGTCTGGGAAATGACACGCAAGGTTTTCTTCTAGTCTCTACACACACACACACACACACACACACACACACACACACAGTGTAGCATACATTGCATGCTACAGATGTACTATAAGCATTTTGCTTAGGGCATTACATGAATCATCATTTCCTCCAAAGAGCTTACTCCTTGCTTCCTCTACAGTGCCAGCCTAGAGTTGGCAGGCATTTCAGACATTCTTCTTCGCTCTGTGACGTAAGTTAGAGCGGTGGTTCTCAACCTGTGGGGTGAGACCATGGGAAAACACATATTTTGAATGGTCCTAGGAACTCCCAACCACACGTTTATTTTCATTGCTACTGTAACTTTGCTACTGGGGAGTGTTTTAGTTCCTAAGACCATCAGAAATATGTGGGGTTTTTTTTTTTTGAGAACCCATTGAGTTGGAGAAATCCAATATGTTTTATATGATTTTGTCAATTAACTGATGAAAATCTATTGATCTGCTTGTTTCTGATACCGAGTATTCAAGATCTAAAGGAGGCCCTGGAATCAGCCCATTTGCAGGGCACAACTGGCTACACAATCAAACCCACCCAGTTTGGGGCTATCAATAATGCCCTTGATGGAACATCTCACTCCTGTATCTCAGGAGTGGAACAGCATCATAGCAGCCTCAGATTCAAGGGATAGTAAACTAAAAGAATCCAAACAACTGACGCCAGACATCATCAGAGAACTCTAGGTGACTGGGCAGCAATGACGTGTTCTAATGCTTACTTCACTCTGATTAATGGAAGTCTTATGAATTAAGAATTATAACTGTAATTTTGGGGAGAGGGATATATCACAGCCTTGTTTCTTTTCTTGGCAAACACATAGCACTCAGCACATCTGAACATGACTAAGAAATAAGAACATGTACATGTTGGTTTTGTGGGTTCCCAATAAAGAATCCAGATGCCTGACTCTTCACAGTTTACGATGGTGACATCACTCCTGATTCTCCAGGTCAGCCCTTGTGCTGTGACCTCAGACTGTCTGGGGGTTAAAAAGCCTGAGTCCAGATCCTCACATCCTTAAATTCACTGGAAATCTCTGGGTCCTGTTGAGGATGAGGATCAGAGAATGGCTGAGGGAAAAGAAGAAATGATTCTGTGAGGATGAAGGTTTTCAGAATTGAAATGTTACTATAAAAATAAGACAAACGCTTGTATGCCCTCAAAATATATAACTATGGCCCATAAATGCTAAAAAAAGATGGATTTGGATTGAAAATAATAAGCCATCTTTTAAAAAATAGCAATTTTTAAGATTTATTTTTATTTCTTAATCATTTGTATATGTTTCTGTATGCTTGTAGGCCACATGTGTGTAGGTGCCCGTGGTAGCCAGAAGAGGGTGCATGATCCCCTGGAGCTGCAGTTACAGGTGGGTCTGAGCCACTGGATATGGTTGCTGAGAACCAAATTTGAATCTTCTATAAGAGCAGCAAGTATTCTTCACCACTCATCCGTCTCCCCAGCCCTTTTCCTTATGATTTTAAACTATGCATGTGTGTGTGTATATATATATATATATGTATGTATGTATATATATATATATATATATATATATATGTATGTATGGGTTCGTGCGTATGAGTACAGGTACTCACGGAGGCTGGAAGAGGGTGTCAGAACTTCTGGAGCTAGAGTTACAAGCATTTGTGAGTCACCTGATATGGGTGTTAGGAACCAAACTCAGGTCTTAACAAGAACAATATGTGCTCTTAACTGTGAGCCATCTCTCCAACCCCCAAAACCATCTTTGTAATGAGATTAGTCCGAATTTAGAATGGGCTGTTTTGGAATGGCAGTGAGTTCTTAGCCACTAGTGTGTCCAGGTTAAATTAACTACTCTAAAGTAAGCACAAACAGAGCATCAAAATGACATGGATTAATTTTCATAAGGAAATCATAACCTTTACCAGTGAGACAAACAGCAGGGGAGTTTTCCTCCAGTCTCTGCTGATATAGGACATCCTTCTGTTAATAAAGACATTGGTTAATAAAGACATTGATTTAGCCAATAGCCAGGCAGAATGGAGCCAGGTGGGAAATCCAAACAAAGATACAGGGAGAAAAAGGCCAGAGTCAGGGAGACACCAGAAGCTGTTGGAGAAGCAAGATGTGAGGTAACAAGTCACGAAACTCATGGTAAAATATAGAATAGTAGAAACGGGTTAAGTTGTAAGAGCTAGTTAATAATAAGCCTAGGCTAATAGGCCAAACAGTTTGCAATTAATGTTAAGTCTCAGAGTGGTTATTCGGGAACTGGCAGGTGAGAGAAACCTCCAGTTACAGTCTGCCCTGTTTCTCTGACACGCTCTTCACTGACACGCACCTGCTCCTTAACCAAACCAGGGCGATTTTAAGGTATCACTGGGCTTGGCCCTGTAGCCAAAAGAGCAGCAGGAAGTGTCTATGCCACAGTGAAGGTGAGAATGTGGCCAATCACGTTGCATGCCAGTGTCCTGTCAGGGAATGCCTCCCACAGCTGGGGTGGCAGCCAGAGCAGGCCATTCTGGAAGGCCTTTCTCCTTCAATGCTGAGGTGACTCCTAAGGTGTTAAAGATGAACCCCCGAAGTGTTCTCAGCCCTAAGCATCCTTATGCTTCATGGGAAACATTCCGGCACAGATGAGCCGGTCACTGCCGCGTAGAGAGCTTCTAAGGACCACTCCAGTGGGTGATTGGTAGAGATGGATCACGTATAAAATGTCTATCCATCGTGGTTTCAAAGGATTCAACTTCTGAGCCCTGTTTCAGAAGAGATCCACTTTTCTAGAGAAAAGGTAGGCCAAAGGGGTCTAAGGACTTCCTTAGGCCACATTTCCTCATTTCTGGAAATTAGAGTTGAATACCGGAGAGAGGGCTCAAGGTTAACTTGCAATCCAGAGGAAGTCATGACAACCAGGCCTCACAGCTAGTGTGACAGATTGGACAGATTGGATTCTCCAGTGATGGCTATGGCAACACACACACACACACACACACACACACACACACACACACACACACAGCACCAGGTGATGCCAACCTTCATTGTTAACAGACAGAACGTGGCAGGAAGAAGCCACAAGGGAATCTGTGTTAGTCATATCAATTGACCCTGCCTGACAATCAGCAGGCGTTCAATAAACGTGTAGCAAGGCTGACTGGGTGGATAGAAGGTGGATAGAAAACTGATGAATTTTTAAACAAGGACTGCACAAGCCTCATTTCAGAGATTAAATAGTGGGAACTTTCTCAACTTTGTCAGATCCAAAAACATATCCATAACTAAAACAAATTAAATCTATCAGGTGCATCAGGAGATACCAGCAACGACAAAATCATGGTACCTGTGTGGTCTGGATGATGGTCAAGTCATTCATTCGAGAAATCCCTGCTCCCATAGGAGCCCGAAGGCCGGCTGTCCCAAACTCCATCCGGGCACCAAAGCATTTCTGTAGCTCTTCTTTATCACCCTCAGCGATGAGCTGTTTCACTGACTCCAAAGTCAAGGGATTCTGAAAGACAGGCATGGGTGTATTAGGCACAGCTTGGTTAAAAGAAGGACAGAAAACCTGCAAAGTCGGCCACCCCCCCCAACACACACACACACACACACATACACACGTAATTCTAACCTCTAGGCAAAACCTGAATATATACATGCTTTTGCGTTTTCTGATGTTTTTGATAGTATGATTTATTATTTTCTTTCCTACTTTGGTAAGCAGTTTTAGAGAAAACAAACAAGGTGCTGTTTTAGAATAGACATTTAGAGCCGGGCGGTGGTGGTGCATGTCTTTAATCCCAGCACTAGGGAGGCAGAGGCAGGCAGAGCTCTGTGAGTTCGAGGCCAGACTGGTCTACAAGAGCTAGTTCAAGTACAGGTTCCAAAGCTACAGAGAAACTCTGTCTTGAAAAACAAAACAAACAAACAAAAAACCAACAACAACAACAACAAAAAAATTAGTAGGGAGATCCCAGACCCATCACTTACAAACCCGTGCTTGTGAAGACTATGGAGTCTAATGAGTACTTAGTTTCGCCATCTGTAAAAGGGGAACCAGCTAGAACCTCTCTTGCACAATTTGCAATGTCAGTCAATTTAACTAAACCCTTACTTTTGTGGGGCTTTATAGTTGCTGTTGTTGTTGTTGCTTTTACACAAAGTATTTCCTTTGTATTTAGTCAAGTTTCAATGACTCTGTAAGTCAGGCCGATAATAGTCGATGAATTTTAGTAGTATTTTATACGACAGAGATTGAGTGGCATGCTTAAACTGCCTGATAAACATCAGCCTAGTGCCTATTCTATTACATTAATTGCAAATAGACAGGAATATGAATCATTTAAATTCACCATACATTGCCTTGCTTTCTTTGCGCAAGAATTGCAGGAGATGTTAAGATTGGAGAGCTAGAGTGATTACCTAACTCCACATAAACTTCTTAATTGAAAGCTAAGGACTGCCGGAGTAAGCAGTCCTGTACTTCCAGGTGTCAGCCACTCTAAGAATGAACACCGGACAAGATAAGGCCCCATAATTAAACTTTGAAATTGGTTGCAATAAAACCTTGGCTTCCCGGAGTCAAGCCTATGGTTCCAAATTGTTCCGGATTCAACAGGAACCTGAACCAACCTTTTGATTAAAAACAGTAGATCCCGATCACAGAGAACAATCTTACCCATTAAACTGCCAGGTGCCCCCAAGGAAAAACTCAGAGCTGGTACACAAAAGGAGCTCAACAAACACAGGCTGAGTGGATGAGAAAACACAGGTTTCCTGGCCACACCCAATATCCAGGGCTTCTATCGTAGATTTCAAAAGTCCTAACTGACCTTAGGTATCTAGAAAAGACTCAGCAGCCTGAGAGGACAAATCAGGGAGATAATGAAAAGTCGAGAGGGCAGCAGAGATAAGGTCAGACCTGGGAGTGCTGGAAACTGGCAAGGGAGGGAAGCACAAGGCAGGGGACACAGTGACAGGTGCCTTGGTGCCTTGTCACCATGGGTGGGTCAGCAGTTTCAGCTTTCGGCCGGTGGGTATGTCTCTGAAAAAAATGAATGGGTCCTTCCCAGAGAGGCACCTGTCTCCAGTTTTAGAAACGGAGAGGGACTAAAGTCAGCTCTGTCTCTAAGGCCCAAGCTCACAGCCCCAGCGTGCACCAAGCCTAGCCAAGCAGAGTTCACCTGGAAGACTAATGCTGCAGGCAATGGATGCGCAGAGTGGGCTGCTCAGTCAGCTAAGCCACGGTGGGGAGTGGCTGAGGAATCTACTTGATGCCGACCTCTGACCTCTGCATGAATATGCACACATACACACAGACACATTCATACACCACACACACACACACACACACACACACACACACACACACACACACACCCTCTGACTGGGAAAAGAACACTGAAACATCTCCAATGGAGAAAAGGACAGATTCCCTTCAGTTCTACCCATGGAGGTACCAATCCTAGACAGATCCCATATTGTAGAAAGGAGCTGTGGGCAGGCCTGCTTTTCATCCTGCCCGGCTCCCGCACAGCTAGCTTAGCCCCAGAAATAATAACACACAAGTTGTATTCATTTAAATACTGTCTGGCCCATTATCTCTAGAGAGTTAGTTACTGACTAACTCTCATATCTTGATATTAACCCATTTCTAATAATCTTGTGGTAGCACCACGAGGTAGTGGCTTACCGGAAGAGATTCAGCATGTCTGACCTGGTGGCTGGCTCCATGGCGTCTGGCTCATAGCCCTCTTCCCAGCATTCTGTTCTGTTTACTCTGTCTACCTGATTTTCTGTCCTATCAAGGGGCCAAGGCAGTCTCTTTATTGACCAATGAAAATAACACAATAGACAGATAACCCTCCTCCATCACCATATTCTGGAGTAACTACATTTTCTGGTTTTCTTTTATAGAGGTTGATGACTAAGTCTGAGTCTCAACTTGATGAGATTGAGAAGGGCAGAGGAAAGCAATGCTGCTTGCTTCTGGGGTGTCTGGGAAGTAGCTTCCAAAGGTAATTAGACCATGGGCTCTGACAGAATCAAAAGGTCACTCCTTTGACGGGTTCAAAACGTGGTGGCATTATGGAGAGGTGACAGAAGGTAAAAACTGGGGGCTAGTTGGAGGATAGAGGTTACTGGGGCTTATCGCAATATAGTTTGCTGGGGCCTCCTCCTGCATCCTCTCTCCTTCCCAGGCACCATGACCTGAGCTGCTCTGTTCCACATCTCAATGTGTGAGCAAAGTGGTCCTTTCCCCTCGGCTTTAGCCAGGTGGTACACTAGCCCAGTACACAGAACAGTACTTCCCTAACCCCAGCGCTGGGAGAATCTATACAAATCAAGCTACTAAGTTATCACACAAATAAAGTTACTAAGTTATCAGATATGGAAACAGTTTCCTTCCTTTAAGCATCCTGAGGTTAATGTTCCAGGAAAAGAGAAAAAGAAAAACTCCCTCAAGGAGTTGGCACTGGCACCCAGGAAATAGGATGGGCTGACACAGGTGTGAGTGTGGAATGGCCTCTCTGAGACTCTCACCCTCTGTCCAGTCAACAAATGCATCAGGGACCTGCTATATACAGTACGGTAGATACGGGAGGTGGCAGGAACACACAGCACAAGCCACATAATTTTCAGGGGCCCGTGGAAAAGTAAAAGGAAGGGCTCCATGTTTAACAACAGAGAATCTCAAAGCAGAGCTTTTAACTACGACTTAGGCCCTTCCCCTGGGCATTGGTTCAGTATACCTGCGCGGGTCTCAACTCCTGAAGTCAACCCTGGACACCGACAGACATGAAAAGGACAAACCTGTAAGGGGTTGCTGGTTTTGTTTCTTCCGATCCCAGTAAGAGCCAGGAAGGGAAAGACTGGGCTGTTTAGAGAAAGTGTAGGAGAGAAATAAGTTGCACTTCAGAGACGAGGAAGACCTCGTTAAGTTCACACAGGAATAACAACAAAAGAAACAAGGTCCACTGAACACAGGAAAGAGGAATATTAGGGGGAAATACGAAATCACAGGTCGGAAAGAACTTGTAGAGGGCAGAGGAAGTGATGTCCAGAGCTGGCCACCTAACTGTTTCAGTCATAAGATAGTTTACAGCAGAAAGGTGCAGCTGGGACAAAGTGTAACCTGTCACCTTCCCAGGGAAGTGAATGTCCTCTAGGAAATTCCCGATCATCCTGGTCCACCAGAGACCCGTTAGCAAGCATGCGGTCAGGAAGGGTGTTCTAGACGCTGGAGGGGTCCGGGTCCCGGGAAAGGCTAGACAGAGCGGATTCTGAACGGATGAGGATGCTCAGCCCGGCACAGAACCTCAGAAACCCTTTCATGCCCGGACTACCCCGGCCCTAGTCCCGCTATGATCACCCCGCCCGGGCTCGCTCCTCTATCTGGTTTTAGCAGCCAAGCGGGCCACATAGCTGCCTCCATCCCGCAACAGCCTTTTCCGAAAAGACTCGGTGCCGCCTAGCAGGGGAGGAAGGAAGCTGGGCCCGGCGCCCCTCGGGTCAAGCCGCGGCGTCCGGGAACCCAGGAGCCCGCGATCGGCCCTCACCCGGTCCCAGCGCAGCCACTGCGCGGTCTCCTGGTCCATTCGCGCGTCCATGCCCGAGTCAGTGACTCCCGGAGCTGGTGTCGGTGTCGCCGCTGCCGCTGTCGCCGCCGCCATCCCGCCGCAGCCACAACCGGGTGTAGGAGGCTGGGTCACCCTTCCGGAGGGGCGGGGAGAGGGCGGAGACAGCGGCGTAGACCGAGGGCTTGCTGGAAGTGGACGTGCAGCTCTGCCCGGCTCCCGGAGGCTTGTCCTTACGGGTGCACCTCCAGGAGGGCCAGGCTGCTGGGGATGTCTGGTAGCAAGCGTAGCAGGAGGCCGCCTTCCCCTAGTCTCCTAGGTATACTAAAGACCCTCCAGCAAGCGTCACATGTGCGTCGGTGCCCACCGTGTCTGGGATGCCGGGCTGCATGCATTCGAAATGCTCTTAGGCCCGGGCCAGTAACGGTAAAGCAGAAACAGGCCAATCTCCGTGAGTTCGAGGTCAATCTGATCTACACAGTAAATTTCGGACCAGCTAGTAAAACCCTGTCTCAAAATTTCAATTAAATTAAAAAAGAATATAGCAGATGGGGGAAATTTTTTGAAAAAGAAGAAGCCAAATGAGGAGTAAGTCAAACAGGCCAGAGAACCAAAAGGAAATTCAGAAAGGAGTTCACTTGTAGAGACAGTTTGTGTCAGAAGTGGCGCTGAAGAGCACCCGGAAGGACTCAGAATGCTGAGTCAACTGGCTTTTCACACCAGATCATGTAAACGGATAGTCGATTCACCGGCTTGATATCATCACACACAAATGTGTATTCAGGGTCAGCTGGGTGATGCACACACTGGGGCACGACGAAGCACAAGCAAGAATGTTCTGAACTGCCCGTGACGCCTCCCTTCTGCAGTCCTGACCAGCGGGCGGCTGAGGAGTTTATTGTCAGTTCAAAGCTTGACCTAGGCAGTGAGTTCCGGGTAACCGTTCGTTTTAAAAAGGCAGTCAAGAACACTGACTTCTCTATCAGAGGACCCAGGTTTGATTATCAGCATTGACATTACGGAAAGTGCTTACAACCACATGAAATTCCAATTCCAGGGGATCTCGAGTCCTCTTCGGACCTCTACAGGCACACACACCCAGGATGCACAGGCATATATGCAGGCAAAATACCCAAACAGAATATAGAAATAAATAAATATGTTTAAAGTGTCTAGCACTGTTATTCACAAAAAGCTCCAACCGGACGGACACACGCATGTCCAACAATAGAAAGGATAATTATATAGTGGTACATTCATAGCAAGTCCTATAAATAAATTATGGCGACTCAGAGATGAGTTCCACGCACCGGTGAGAACGAACACTGTTGCTGCATACAACCACATGGAGGTAGTCATACATGTCACACAGGAGGTAGTCATACATGTCACACAGGAGGTAGCTCATACATGTCACACAGGAGGTAGTCATACATGTCACACAGGAGGTAGCTCATACATGTCACACAGGAGGTAGCTCATACATGTCACACAGGAGGTAGCTCATGTATGTCACACAGGAGGTAGTCATACATGTCACACAGAGTGAAAGAACTCAGGCCCACCCGCTCTGATAGACCCTGAATAGGAAAAGAAGGTTTTCCAGTACTGAAAATGGGGCTTCACTTCAGAGGTCACTGGGGTTTATGGGTAAGGGACAACTTTGTATACTCACTGAGTTTGTGGCTGCCTTAATCCAGGAATTCATCAGAATTCAGAACCGTGGTCACTCACTATAAATTATAGCTAATTCTGAAGATTTTTAAACATCTGCCTATGGAGTGTGTATGTGTGAGCTGTGGCTTACACATGGAAGCAGAAGGGCGACTTTAGGGACTCAGTTCTCTCCTTCCACCATATGAGACTTGGGAATTAAATTCAGGTCGTCAGGCTTGGTGGCAGTGCCTTTACTTGCTGAGTCACCTCACTGACTCGTGTCTCAATTTTTAAAAATTATTAACATAAAAAGTTATGATGGAGTTAAATCTATGGACATTAGGAGACCAGATAGGTTTGGGAAGGAGGGATCCTGGGCCTGCTCACCTCCCCTATTCTACCAATACAGAAAACTGAACAGGGTTTTGCTTGTGCTGGCCAAGCACTTTGTCCCAAATTATATCTCCAATCCTACCCCCTTAGCCCCCAACTTTTTTTTTATTTTGTTTTCTTTTGAGACAGAGTTGCCAAAGGTTGCCTGATGTGGAATATTATTTTAACTAGGCAAAGACGTGTTACATTTGTTTATGCTGTGGAATATCACTTTGACTCTGTGGAGGTGTGTCACATTGGTTTATGCTGCATTTATTTAATGATGTAAAGATGTGTTCCTATTTCACTTTGCCTGCCTAAGGTACCTGATTGGTTTAATTAAAAAAAAAACTAACCAGCCAATAGCTAGGCAGGAGAAGGATAGGCAGGATTGATGGGCAGAAAGAATAAACAGGAGGAGAAATCTAGACTAGGAGGGAGAGGGGAGAGAATGAGGGAGAAAGAGAAAGACGTGCACAGGGCAAGAAGCCAGGCAGCTGCCAGCCAGACACACACGAGAAACAGTGAAAGTAAAACATACAGAAGGGAAAAAAGCAAAAAGCTCCGAGGCAAAAGGTAGATAAATAGAAACAGGTTAATTTAAGTTAAAAGAGCTAGCCAGAAATGAGCCTAAGCTTGGCCAAGCATTCACAACTAATAAGTCTCCGTGCCGTGATTTGGGAGCTAGTTGGTTTTCCAAAAGAAGGAAGCCTGGTCCAGTTGTATATATTGATCTTAAACTGCCTATAGTTATAGCTAAGGCTGGCTTGGAGCTTGTGATCCTCCTGCCTCAGTCTCTCGGAGCAGCTGATATTTTCCATCATCCCTTGCTTAGACCTCTTCTATCACCTGAATGGTGATGATATAGACGCATTCACATATGTTATTAAACATTCACAGAGCTATAGTATTTTTGTTGGTGGCTTGGTTTGCTTTGGAGTCTCCTGTGATCCAGAATGGCATTCAACTGATTATGTAGCCAAGTATGGCCTTGAGCGCCTGCTACCCCTGTCTCTAACTTCCAAGTGCTGGGATCACAGGCACGCGCCGCCATATCCAGCTACAGTTTTAAGAGCTGTGCATTTCCTTTGTGTTCTTCTGCAAGCACTAGATAAAAAGCACACATGTTAGAGTGTATGGTACCCATACAAGGAACTAACACAAAGTTACTGTCTGATGGCAGGGAAGTGAGGAAGTCCTGGGAGCAGAGATTAAAAGGTTGCTGGCATGGGCAGGCTTCTCGGAGTTGATGCAGAGACAGGCAAGGGAGAGGGCCTGCCTTGGGGGTGGCAGTTCGGCAAACGCTTTTAAGACAGAATGTGTTCCTGTCTCTGAACCAAAAGACTGGGAGATGGAAGCGGAGAGGAAGAGAAGAGAGGATGCTGTCTTAGCCAGGCTTCTGCGGCCTTAGCCGAATATCACAAACTGGATTTATAAATAACAGGGGTGTCTTTCGCTCGTGGATCTGGAAACCAGGAAGTCCGTTATCGCTGGAACTTTTCGGGAACATGTTGAAACCATAGCAAGAAGTCAGCTCTGCTTTCCCATCTGTTAATTCAGCCATCTCCTTTCTCGGCACCATCCACACTGACAGGAGTTGTAAGGTACAGATTCAGAGACCAAGCAGATCTCTCTCACCCTTGTTTGTCTTTCAAATGCCAAGGTGCGGCTCACACCGTGTTTGTGCTCTTTGGTGTCTTCTGCCAAAATGGGGTGAGGTGCTTCCTGTTAATGAACGTTCAGTGCATCAGAGCTCACATAGGTGTCCCCATGATGGACAGTGGCCTGGCTAATGTGATGTCAACTTGACACAGGCTAGAGTTATCTGAGGGGAGGGAACCCCGATTAAGAAAATTCCTCCTTAAGATTGCTCTTTAGGGGGGCTGGAGAGATGGCTCAGAGGTTAAGGACCCTGACTGTTCTTCCACCGGTTCTGAGTTCAATTCCCAGCAACCACATGGTGGCTCACAACCATCTACAATGGGATCTGGTGCCTTCTTCTGACCTGCAGTCATACATGGAGGCAGCACACTGTATTGTATACATAATAAATAAAATCTTAAAAAAAAAAAGATTGCTCTTTAGGCTGGATGGTGGTGACATACGCCTTGAATCCCAGAACTGGGAGGCAGAGGCAGGTGGATTTCTATGAGTTTGAAGCCAGCCTGGTCGACAAGAGCTTGTGCCAGAACAGACTCCAAAGCTACAGAGAAATCCTGTCTCAAAAACAAACAGAATAAATAAATGAATGAATAAATAAATAAATAAATAAATAAATAAATAAATAAAATGTTCTTTAGGCAATCCTGTAGAGAATTTTCTTAATTTGTGGTTGATGGGAGAGGGCTCAGCCCATTATGAATAAGATCACCCTATTCATAGATCACCCTGCTCTAATAGTCCAGGGTTCTGTAAGAAAGCAGGCTGAGCAGGCCAGCAAGCAACACCCCTCCCCAGCCTCTGCATCAGCTCCTGCCTCCAGGTTCCTGTCCTGTTTGCAGTCCTGTGCTGACCCCTTCAATGATGGACAATGGATGAAGACAAGTAAGACAAAGAAGTCCTTGCCTCCCACAGCTTTGTCATGGTGTTTCATCACAGCCACAGTAACCCCAACTAAGATAGATGGCTACAGTGTTGGGGAACAGGGGGCAAAGTGGGGAGAGGGAGGCAAACTGGGTGCTTTCATACCTTTTATTGTATCTGGAATTAAGGACCTAGGGTGACATCTAATAAGAACTATTTTAACTTCATCAGGTACACCAAGATTCTCCATCTTCCTCCATCGAACCAAGAAAAGACAACGCAGAGTGTGTTCATGCAGAGAGGAACTATGAACACTGGTATCACCAAATCATACCTAATTTTCTCTGGCTGAGGAAAGTGCCAAGTTCAGCTGTGCTGAAGATCAGTGCCCAATAACTAGGGTTCACCACGCCCGCCCACTTCTGTGTGAAGTAGAAAACAGGTTTTGGGGCTATGATGGGGGTCTCTAAATGCAAAAAAAGAAAAAAAGAAAAAAAAGAAAAGAAAAAGAAAAAGAAAAAAAAACCTTTTTAGGATATATTATAACAAAGATGCCCACCCTGGAGGTCTTTATTTCCTGATGA